GATGAAAATATGAACATCCAAACCCCAATCCATCAAATAATTGCATAGAAACCAACATTCTTTTATTATAATTAGGAGTCACATCCTTTCATGATGGAAAGCTATTCTTCAAATTCATAAGATCAACTCTTGGTGCAGATAAGATCATTCCAACCCAAACCTTTCACTTATTGCACACAAATCAAAATTCTATCAAAATAGTGAGCACATTGAGCAAGGCTTTGCGGTCCTCCCAAAGTGTCAGCTCTAAAGACTATGTTGTATGAAAATTAAAAGTAATTCTGGGTTAATTCAAGTTGTATTTATAAATTTCTCGGAATACTTCCAGAATTTAGGACTGTCTGAATGGCCAGAATTTGTCAAACTGAATCAAAGGTTTTACAGTTGACACTTCTTCTGAGCATGTTGAAGCAAACTGAAAATGTGTTAAAAATTATAAAATAGGAATTATTTACAAGATGTGAGGATTTTTACGATAAGTCATCAATGTTCCAAGACATCTGGTGCACAAATTGCAGTATGTGCAGTGTTATTCTCAAAAAGCAAGCAATGTAAACAAGCGAGTGGAGCAGACACTATTACCAAGCCTGCATACTTCACCTTTACTCTCTTCACTTTATCAATAGATTCATATATTTATAAACCAAGACCCAAGTACCTGTGACGCCGCCCCCTAACCCAATTTCACAGGAGGTGTGTAAAATGCAGAAGACATGATTCAAAGGCAAGAAGAATCAGGAAAACAATATATAAGGGTGTTGATAAGAATTAGAAATAGTTTGGAGAGAGTTTCTTAGTAGTCTTCGAGACCACATATGTCATAGTGCAACATGTTTTATCAAGTTTTGGAAGAACAAAAAGGAAACGCGCTATAAAATACATCATCACCTGATAAAACAACAAGTCAAACATTAAAAATAACTTACAATTATGACATTGTGGAAAATAAAGCTTATTTTACCTCATCTCCATCATCTTTCCCTTCGTCTGTCAACTCTGTTTGCTTTGCAGCCATTGGAGCTATGAATTTCAAAATATCGAACCCGATTTAAAAGTTATGAATTACGGTTGCCAAGAGCTTACATAATCTGAAAACCGCGGTGAAATCAAAGTTCCATATACAATTTAAACTTAGGATGCATGTATCTGGTAAAATCATTAAACTTTACACAAAAATAGCATTTAATGGTGCTTACAAACGTTTTAAAAGGCTGTGCAAATGATGTGCAAAAACGGACAAGTAGATTTTGCAATCCCACTTTTTTACCCAAGCTGTCTTAGTAACTTCGGTTAAAAGAGAAGCAGACTTAGATCCAGGCCCAAAGACCATAAACTGAGAACAGACTTAAGTCTAAATTTCAATTAAATCAATAAAACTTTTGAAAAAAAAATTCAATGTTGTTCATCACACGTTTTCATTGGAATATTATAAAAACCTGGCAATTTTTTAAGTATGTATGTTAAATAAAACTCAAGATATTCAAAATCAAAATTTTGACTTAAGCCTGTTCTCCGTTTATGGTCTCGAGGCCTGACCTACCCTTTAAAGATTCTGGCGTATTATTTTATATTTTAATTTAAATCTTACAAGAATCTTCAGATTGAGAGAGAGAGAGAGGGGGGGGGGAGGTCAAGAGAACAAGTGGTGCGTTAGCAATTTTGCCTAACGTAGTCTAGTACAGTATTCAGTTTATTATATAATCAAGATTTTACATTTACATATATGTCCATGTTAATCTTTGAATTTATAAATATATAGTGACGCTAACTCTGTTTATCATATTTTATTGATATTATTGTTTAAAAATGCTTCCATGCACGAATCTAGACCCCCCCCCCCCCCCGATCCCCGCTGGAATTTTCAGAGTTCTGAAATATCTATGTAATCTAGAAGAACTGTGAGCACTGAGCCCACAAAATGATAACCCCCCTCCCCCGCCTCCCATATGTTTATAATGCAAAGTCCTTATTTTTGCTATGGGAGCCCCAAAATACGTGTCCGATCAAAAAACAAAATAGGAGGTGCACAATGGCACTATGTAACAAAGATTCTGCGAAAGTATCATTAAATTTTATCCAGTCATATAAGAGAAGTTGCGGATAAGAGATGGGTACCCCTCAATATTATAGAAGAATGGCGGTGTCTATATTTTGCTATTGGAAACCCGAAATATGTCTCCGATCAAAAAGTAAACAAGAGGCCCAAGGGCCTTAACGGTCACCTGAGTATAATACAACAATTTAGAAGTTAAATACACTGATAGATGAAGCTTTGTTGCCCTAAAGCAAGAAAAGTAGGAAGATCAGGATCAACAAAATATAATTAGTCTAGTATTCAGTATCAACTCATAAATTAAGTTCTAATCTGTCCCCCACTTAACACTATCACCATGCAGACTATTAACAAACTATTAGTGCTTCTGTACTGTTTTTAAACCCATATTAAGACCTCTAGCATTGACCTCTCTTATGGTCTTTGAAGAACTTTTAATAAGATAAGTTATTTTTGTCTCATTTTTATTTATCTATTACTTACAGGTCTACCTGATTACTAAAACTAAGAAAGTACTTTTTTAATTATACGATAAACATTCTTGCATAATTATCTTATTCTATTAACCTTTCAAATACATTATTTACAGTGATTAATTATCAAAGATGAATGGAAAAGGGGAATAACTTCTCTCAGTAGAATACAAATTAATAGAGCCCTGCCCAGGACCAGAATGCTTAGACGAATGGTACAGATGTTTAAAAATCTGGTAGAAATACGCTTACTCATATCATTTAAACTTTTACTCAGTTTGCTTCCGATATGCCCAGAAGCAGAGAAGAATTTCACAGGTACAATGCATTTCACTACAGATTCAACAAAGCCTTACCCTAACACCAGAACCCAAGACCAAGGGTCAAGATATTTACAAATTTGGAAGAGTTACCCTCATCATCATAACTATGGACTTCAAAGAATTAACACTTTTCTACTATATTATCAAAAGCCCCCCCCTCCCCTCGTTATGCTAGAACCCCTGACCCTAGGACCACAAGATTTAAAAATTCTGTTTGAAGCACCCATTTTCATCATAGCTAAGCAATTTCTTTATCAGCTCAACACTATTCTAAGGAGCAGACAGGATTAATTAAGGATGGATTCTTCTCATATTTCTTATAATGGCAGAATCTTGATTTTCTGAATACACAATATTCAGACTGTGTACACTATTTTAACATCCAAAAACTTTGGTGTCATCAGCCTTGATTTTCGGTCAAGGACATTTGAAAGTCAGTCCTAAAAATAGTACATTTACACAGGGAAGTTTTGAAATTTGTGCACATGAATAAATTTTGATGACTGAAAAAAATATTTTCACCATAAAATTAAAGTTGTTCATTATTTTTGATCACTAATTAATATGAAATGAGCTGGTGAAAAGAAAACATGAAATCCTTTACATTCAATAAATACATTTAATCCGAATTTCCTCGATATTTTTTCAAAATTCTCTGTTTTCATGAATTCACATGAAATTTCATCTCAATTTTTACAACTGACCATATAATGTCAAATATTTAGTTTTTTGTCTGATGAATATTCAAAGGTTCAAGATTAATTTACAAGGTAAAAAAGATATGGTAATCAGGCAAATTATAGAACAAAATTAGCCCGAATTTACTCTACACTTTCAGAAATCTTCAATTTACAGAGTGTTTTTAAAATCTATAAGTAAGATTTTTAATCCCCAAAAATATAGCAATTTGGTGTAATTGTGACATATATACATTCATTTCTTCCAGCCATACATTTCATTTTTATGGTATTTTACACCAATGATATTTAAAATATTCATTTCGAATTTCCTCTGTCATTTTATTCTGATGAATAAGTTATGTGTGACAATTTTATAAAATACATCAACTTTCTGGTGGCAATTACAGAAAATTATCACATACATTCTTCACATGCACAGGACAAATTCAAAGCAACTTAACCTTCAATATAACAGGAATAATTAATAAACCTTCCCAAAAATTTATGAGAAAAATCATACTTAAAATTTTCATAGAGTAGAAAAGATTTCAATACATTATTTATGAGATAAACATGAAATCAATATACATGTATAGTGAACATGTCATATGAATCTAGACATTCAATACTTAATACAGTATATGAAAAATTCAAAATCAGAGGGACTAATACATGCCTATACATGTATATGTAGTTATATACATATATACACTGTAGATCCCTGGTATTATGTGTATTGGATATTTCACATTTGTCGAACAAGTTTTGAAATCAATAAATACCTACACACATTTATGAGTATAAGTATATAGTTTGATCAGCACAAATAAATATAACTCCTCAATGTGATCATATATTGCATAATTTTTGCTGGAGTTTTAAGATAACAAAAAAGCCATCATGAGTGACAGTCAAATGCACTTTGACTTCTTTGCCTGAAAATGACATCTTTTGAACTTTGTAACAATGATATTCATGCAATTATGAAACTTAATTTCACATTTAGATGCAAAATACTTATTCAAGGATGAAATTTCTTTTGAGAATTTGTAATACAAAAATTTATTTATCAGTGTCAATAACTTGTTTTGATGAAAAATTCACTATAGGAGAAAGATTTCAAATTTGAACCAAAGATTTTGTAAAGTAATCATATTCTACAAAGCATGCACTGTACCAGGTACTTGGGATTTTTTTCCACAAACTTCCAATACGTTTAAAAACAAGAGGCCCATGGGCCACAATGCTCACCTGAGTCAATATGGCCCTGCTGTTCTTCATCAGCAGATTTCTTCTCCTATATTTCTCCTATAATATTCATAATATATAAAGCTTTTATCGCCTGTTCTAGGCATACCCTACCCCAAGGTGCCATGTTTTGAATGAAATTGAATATAAACCTTCTGAGGATGCTTCTATCTTCATATAACTAATCATGATTTTGCTGTTCTTTAAAACAGAATTTTAAAATATGTCTAACACCCTTCCCTGGGGGGGGGGGGGGGGGGGGTCATGATTTGAACAAACTTGAATGTACACTACCTGAGGATGCTTCCATATCCATATGACTGATCATGGCTTTGTTGTTCTTGAGATTGAAGAAGGTTTTTAAAGATATTTCCTGAATATGTTCTTTGTAAAACTTTGATCCCCCATTATGGCCCCACCCTACTACTGGAGGATGCCTTGAACAAGCTTGAATCTACAATATTTGGGGATGATTCCATATCAATATGACTAATTGTGGCTTTGTTGTTCTTGAGAAGATTTTTAAAGAATTTTCCTATATATTCCTATGTAAAAATTTGATCCCCCATTGTAGCCCCACCCTACCCCTAGGGATCATGATTTGAACAAATTTAAATCTACACTACTTGAACATGATTCCATATCAATATGACTAATTGTGGCTTTGTTGTTCTTGAGAAGAAGATTTTTAAAGATTTTCCCTATATATTCCTATGTAAAACTTTGATCCCCCATTGTGGCCCCACCCCACCCCCGGGGGTCACGATTTCAACAAAATTGAATCTACACTATGTAATGAAGGTTTCACATAAGTATAAACTTTTCTGGCTCAATGGTTCTTGAGAAGAAGATTTTTAAACGATGACACCAAATTTTCACCAATTCTTAATTATCTCCCCTTGGAAGAGGGCGTGGCCCTTCATTTGAACAAACTTGAACCCCCTTCACCCAAGGATGCTTTGTGGCAAGTGTGGTTGAAATTGGCCCAGTGGTTCTGGAGAAGAAGTTGAAAATGTGAAAAGTTTACAGACAGACAGCTAGACAGACAGACGGACTACAGACAAAATATGATCAGAAAAGCTCACTTGAGCTTTCACCTCAGGTGAGCTAATAAGGGAAGTCAAATAATTAAACATTATATGATTATAAATAAAACCATTTTTGACTGAAACTTTGCTAAAAAAAATCAAGAATGGAATCATGCAACAAGCAGCAGTGATTTTGATAGCATGCATTGACTTCCATAA